AGCGGCTAATGAAGAAGCGGCTAATGAAGAAGCGGCTAATGAAGAAGCGGCTAATGAAGAATCGGCTAATGAAGAAGCGGCTAATGAAGAAGCACCTAACGAAGAAGCAGCTAATGAAGAAGCGGCTAACGAAGAAGTTGCGGCGGTGGAAGCACCCAATGAAGACTTTGCGGAGGGCGCGGACCAGGATTGCTCCCACGCTAAGCAGCGCGTCCAAGAGATGATGATGTTACGCAACATCAGTAAGAGCGAGTGGGCCATGGGACAAAACAGAATCTTCCTGACCGACTTATCTTTAAAAATTCTTATGCAGAGCAAGTGGGAACAGTGCAGACAGAAGATGCTTCCCAAGGGGTGTGGAGCACTGTACGCTTATCAGAGGGCAAACCCTGGGGGGAGGGACGCATCTGCCTCCAAAGCAGCAGGGTTAATAAACCTAGAGTGCGTAAGAATGAGCCAAATTTACAAGACAGGCGATGCTAATAAGATCTACCAGATGGTGAAACAAGGAATGGCTTCCATGTCTCAAGAAGGGAACAACTGTTTCCACGACATGATGCAATATATGCACCTAGAAAAAATAACACAGTTGTATAACCCCGGAGGGGGTACGGGAAACGACGACACGGGAGATGTCTCGATGGAAGGAGGAGCAGAAGCAGCAGCAGTAGCAGCAGACTCGTACCAGAACCAAGAAGGTGATCCCAATCAAAGCTCAGTACAGATGTGTGGTATTATGCATATATTGAATAATGTGCCTACATGCAATGCTAAGATGTGTGATCTGAATGAGGCCATCAAGGGGTGCAACCCTACACAGGTATCCCTCAACGACAGCTGCACCTGCGGCGTGGGAATGCCTAACTGCTGCACCCAGCACTTACAGTCGGGGGAGATAAACCCGGAGGGCACCGAGGAGCAGAATGTAGTGGCTGACGTGGAAGGGGCACAAATGAACCTGGACGAAGTCCAACATGACGACGTGCAACCTGAGGAAGTGCAACCTGAGGAAGTGGAGGCCGAGCAAGTAGAACCCGAGCAAGTAGAACCTGAGCAAGCAGAACCCGAGCAAGTGGAAGCCGAGCAAGTGGAACCTGAGGAAGTGGAACCCGAGCAAGTGGAACCTGAGGAAGTGGAACCCGAGAAAGTAGAACCTGAGGAAGTGGAACCCGAGCAGGTAGAACCTGAGGAAGTGGAACCCGAGCAAGTAGAACCTGAAGAAGTCGAACCCGAAGCTGCCGACGAAGATGATGCGAACGAAGAGCCAGCAGAGGAAGACTTATCAAATGGGGAGCAGCTCAGTGGAGAGCAACTCAACGGGGAGCAGTCAAATACGCAACTCCAGGAGGATGACCTACCCGAGCATCATGCAGACAGTGACGAACAGGAAGAAGAGATAATAAGCAGTGCGAACAACAATACGGCAGATGCAGGAGAATCACAGGAGAACCAGTTAGATGTGGCAAGTGTTGGCTCTGTGTCGGGTGCAGTAGACGCTGGTGAGGCGAGTGAGGATGCCGCGGAGGAAGCGTTGCAGGGGGTGGAGGTGGTCGATTTAAAGGATGAAGAAGAAGAGGAGGAAGAATCGTTGCATGGGGTAGAGGTGGTCGATTTGAAGGATGAAGCAGAGGCGGAGGAATCGTTGCATGGGGTGGAGGTCGTCGATTTGAAAGATGAAGAAGAAAAAGAAGAAGAAGCGGAAGATGAGCCCAACGAGGAAGTGGTAGACGTGGTAAAGGTGGCGGCGGCGGCGGCAGATGAGCCCAACGAAGAGCCGGTCGATGTAGAAGAGGAGATGCCCCAAGCGCAGGAACTCGAGGTGCCGGCGCTGGAACTGGAGGCAGATGAAGAAGCGCCAGGCGAGGTGGAAGCGGCAGACGAGATGAACCCCTTCACCGATGTAGATGCAACCGAGGAGATGAATCCGTTCGACCAAGTGGACGAAGTGAACCCCCCGCATGAAGAGGATGAGAACTCGACAAAGGACGAAACGAAGAACCCGAAGGAGGAGGATGTAGACGAGGAATACATTGAGTATAATTTGAATTGCTTTAAAGCAGTGGCCTCCAGGAAAATGGGAGAATTAAATAACGCATTACTAAGTTGCGCTGGAGATGAAGTAAATATGATTCAGAATATGCTTGACTGTTATGTATGTACGGAACAAGGGAATCAATATGAGCATTGCTTAATAGAACCCACTTATTGGAACCCGTTAGATGTAGGACAAAACGGGTTCGGACAATACCCCGCAGAATTAAGGAACCCAAAACAGAAACATTTACTGTTGAGTCATTTAAATGAAAAGTATATCACCAACTCAGATGAAAACATTCATCTCATGAACATTTTAAAAAATATGGTTTCTGGCATGGAAAATGTGCATAACAAAAAGTGGAACCTCTTTTTTACATCATGCGATTATTACTTCAAGTCATATGTCTCGAACGAAGATCATTTATGTTTACAACATGATTCGGCCGAATTGAACGAAAAGGTTATGTTCAACGAAGAGTGCAATTATCACAACAAGGAGCAAGTGCATAAGCATAGGTATAGCCCCATGGTGGAGTATTTAACTCTGCCCACAGGAAAGGACATTCATGAAATATGTCTCTCCAATAATGCTTATAAAAGGTATATAAAAAATACTTACAACATTCTTTGCTTCCGATCAAGGAAAGGTTCTAAATTGGATTTCATGAATGCCAAATCATTTTATACATCCATTGAATACAAAAAGGTGAAGACCAAAAACATAACTCATGTACACACAGATTTCTCCTACATGGACGATAAGATGAAATGCAATTTCAAACAACATGTAATTAATGAGTTCATTAATAACCCTAACATCAGCATGGAGGAATTGGGAAACAGCTTGCTCAATTTAGCTACATACTTTTATTATGAAAATCGGGGTTCCTGGTGCGTCTTCGTTTCAAAGAAGCGCGCCTTCACGGGAGTAATCAATATCGTTAAGAATAGGTACATACGCATGACGGCCAAGAATAAGACCAAGAAGTATCACATTGTCCTGTTTGAGACGCCTGTGTGAAGGGAGGAGAAGCGACGCGCGCGCCGTCCGCGTGCCTTCCGCGCGTTTTTTCCTCTTTTTTTGCGTACCTTTTTGCGTACCTTTTTGTGCGATTTTTTTTTTATGTACACCTAGCGCAGTGTGCCTGCCGGGGTGGCCTGGCGAGGAGTCCCGTTCGTCAAAGACCAAACCGGTCATCAGTTGCAGAAGCGCGAAAAACGTACATGACACTTGAACAAAAAAAAAAAAAAACAATGTTACAAGACAAATTTGTACGAAACGCAGAAACGCGGAAAAGAGGAAAATAGGTGGGCAAAACATGTTTGGCAAAAAAAAAAAAAAAAAAAAAAAATTCCCATGTGGACAGAGATCACACTTCCCTTGCGACGTTAAAGGGAGGGGCGTCACGGGGCAACTCCCACACAGTCGCTGTTGCAGCTAGTGTCGATTGTGGACTGTCCCGTGTGCAGTGTGGCGTGTCGCGTGCAATGGGGAGTGACTCACTTGGGGGTCTTCTTATTGGTGTAATCAAAGACAGTGCCGTCATCCGACACGAGGCACTCGCCTGTCATCCTGGCCCGCATCTCGATCGCCAATTTCTTGCTCAAGGTGGTGCCATAGGTGTTGATGCCAAAGTTCTTGGTCCGCTTACAGCCACTGGGGCTTCTCCACTCGGCCCTCCATGCCTGCACAATGCCGTTGATCCTAATCATGTAAACTCCCGCAGGGTTGGAGTTGGCCTTTTCCGTTTTCTCCATTTTTTCCATTTTGGTGTACATGTTCATATCGTCTAGCATCTCCTTTTTTATGCTTCTGGTGAACTGATTTTTCGTGGCTTGTTTATTCCCAGTGTAATAATTTGGGGTAGAAAACTCTTTTGTGTTTGGGTCGAAGGGGGTACCAAGAGGGTTGACCTCTTCGTTTGTTAATGCTTTACTCATGTTTTCACTTGTTGCAGGGTAGTGATGCATCTCGTTTGTTTTGCTGGCCATACCACCTGTGTATAAGTTGTTCTCCCCCGTTTGCTCGTCCGTGCCCGGGACGCACGCGTCCTTTGGGCCCACAAAAAGGTTGCCGCTGCCGCTGCCGCCGCTATTATTGCCGCTTCTAAATGGGGGGGTGACAGTGCTTGCCATTCCCATGTTGGCTCCGAGGGAGTTGTCAATGCCATTTCCGTTGTGTACTCCGTTCGCGTCAGGGTCAGCACCCCCCTCGTTATCCCTTACATTGTTTCCTGCTCCCATAGCAGTGTTACTTAATGGCGCGCTCATGCTCATGTCCACATCGTTCTGGCCACCTTCTCCCCCTCCTCTACCATTGCTCACAACACAATCGCCCACATTATTATTTACCATGTCGGTGGTGCTATTGCTTCCAGCAGGGCTACTCACCAGCTTGATGTTGTCCTTTGCTGCGTTGTTGTTAGTCGTGTAGGGAGGGCTCGTGCTGCTATTCCCATTAGGGTTATTCACAACGTTCATTCGGATGTTGTCACTTTGGGTAGTTATTGGCATGACGTTGTTGTATACTCCGTCCGTTCTGGGGTATCCTTGAATGAGATCACCTCTACAGAGATGGCTCCTGTACAGGTCCTCCCTATACAAATTGCTCTCCTTACACTTGGAGTAATTGTTCTCATTGACGTAGCCATGTTGCTGCACATAATGTTGATCATCGTTGCTGGTCTTGGGAGGAGTACCGCCCACCCCACCACCACCTGCTCCTCCAATCGCTTTTCCATTCGCCCCACTGTTTATCATGTGTGCATTTTTCCCATCAACAGTGCCAATCGAGTGAGTGGCGTCATCTATACTATTGTGCCCTACGTCACTCTTGTCCCCCTGATTCAGGTTATTCATCCCGGCTGTTGTAATCAAATCTGTATTCATGGCTGCGGCTCCCTTCCCTGCATGGCTCACATAATTGTGTTTGGTACTGTGATTAGAATTCTTCACCATTTCATAGCTATCGAGTCCAGTTATATCATTAGACGATTCTGCTTTCATCACACTACAAGACGAATGATGTGTCTCCTTTTTACCCCCACTGTGGTTTTTCTTATAATCGTGCTCAAATTTCTTCCTAGCTTCAATAGCCAAATTTCTGGCTCTCTCCTCCCCAAATTTGTTAATGGAAAAATATCTTTTCTCCTGCTTGCCATTGGAGTACCAATTAGCACAGAAGGCTTTTTTTGAGTCCTGATAAAAGACCCCCTGGGGGAGAATAACTGAATTCTCCATCTGATTTTGATTCGCTTCATTCGACTTTTTATTATTTGATTTTGCATAAGTGATTACATTGTCTCCTCCTTTTCCACCTGCACATTTCGCATTGCTATTTTTACCTTTGTGCTCCGTTGTGGTAGTTAGGTTGTTTTCCCTATTTGCTCGATCCCTTTTCGTTGTCCCCATCTGGTTGCAGTACTCCAAGTTCATGCCTTCTTCTTCTTCATCATCGCCGTCATCCTGGTCATCGTCTTCGTGCACATTCCTCGCGTGGTGGTTCGCGTGGTGATTCCCATGGTTGTTAATTCTTCTCCTTCCTCCACTAACACAACTGCTGCCGTTCGGTTCATTGTCGTTCTTTTCTTTTGAAACATGTTCATCCTCCCCTGTGTGGTCTGCGCTGGGCTTCCCATCAGGGTAACCACCCTTCATATAATAATCTTCATAGTGCCTGAGGGCGCTGTCCTGGGACAAGTTCTTCGCCTTTCCTCTGCTTCCACCCAGGTCGTTGAGTCCATTGACACTACTCATCCCGCTCAGAGGATAGTCTCCTATCCCTGCACCACTCTCATACATACCACCACCTGCCCGGTGAATCTCATTCCATTCACTGAATATGTTCATATCTCCCCCCCCTTTATACTCGTTCGCGTACTTCCTCGCATAACTATCGTAGACACCACTTTCCTTATTGCACCCTCCACCTCGGGTATCACCTTTGGGGTGGCTAGCTATATTGCGCTTCTTATCATACGCGGCGGGGTGGTAGTCCTCATAATTCATATGGTGCTGATCAAAGGGATACTTTTCCCTCCCCCCTGCTTCGTACTTGTTTGTGGATTCTCCTCCTACATCATTGTAATTGATGGGATCAGGGTAGGGGGGGGGGATGACGCCCTTTTCGTTCTTTTTACCCTCCCCTGGGTTATTATGGGTTTTCAATTTTTTCTGATTCTGCGTTGGAACGTCCTCCTCATCATCATCGTCGTCGCCTGCCGCTGCCGCCTTACCATTCAAGGCATAGTGTTGTTCTTCGTCCTCTTTCTTCATTTTATGTGTCGCTCCCCTTCGTCCATCGCGTCTGTTGGTAGGAGCGTTACTGGACTCCACTGCGTGGTTTTCATTGGTGGCCCTCAGGTACGCGCCTCCACCCCTTCTCGATGTGATTCTCCTGTTTGTCCCGTCCACATAGCTACCGCATTCCACATGGTTAACGCCTTCTTCATTCGTCCCGTTCTTATTGAGATTGGCCGCGTCTTCTTCCTTTCGTTCCCCCGCGCGTGTATACCCCCCCGAGGCATTCGCATTGACGGCCTCTGTCCCATCGTTGTTCCCTCCGCCTGAAGTCACACCGTTAGACACGCCTCCCTCCGCAGTCGCTCCAGCGGTCACTCCAGCGGTAGCTGTGGTGGTAGTCGTGGCAGAGGCCCCTTTTTTTCCAGCGCCCTTTATATGCTTGGTCCTATTTTCAAAGGCGAATCTGGCCTTGGTGGCTAAATTGCGAGCTTCATCCCAACCATAATATTTAATTTTGAATCTTCTTTTAATTTGTTTTCCCTCCTCATACCAGCTGCCTATCCATGCCTTCTGCGATCGGTCAAAGTAGACTCCTCTTTGTGGCTTCAGTTCTGACGCAGACATTTTATATTCATAATTTTCAATCGCATCTACAGCTCCGTTATTCCTTCCCTTGGTGTTGGTTCTTCTAGATCCGTTTCCTCCATTTGCTCCTTTTCCACTTGCATTGTTTCCCCTACCAACGGAGGTACCTGTTGTTGTCGCGGTCTCCAGGTGGTGCAATTTCGTCTTGTCCTTGCTGTGACCTCTTCCATTACCCGTATAACACACCCCATTAAGCTTTGCACCCATGTGGGCGTGTGCCTTGCCATGCCCACCACCAATACCATTGCTGTTGCCATTACCATGCATCCCTGCTTCTGCACCAGCAGCAGCAGCACCACCACCAGTGGAGCAATCCCTCCTTCCATAATACCTACTCTCGAGTTCATAATTTTTCATATAATTTTGATTTATGACTTTGTTTCTCCTTCCCCTTCCATACTCCAATGTGAAGTTGTTGAGGAAAAAATTCACATTCTTTCCTCGTTCTCCCTTCACTCTTATTTTAGTAGATTCGACACTACTAACGTTTTCATCATCATCTTCATGATTGGCTCCACCGACACTACACCCAACGCTGTTGCCACCTTTCATATCTTTGTGTCGTGCACCCTTTACCAAATTTGCATTACCCCCTGCTGCTCCTCTACCACCGAGGTACACATTTTTCATGTGTATTTTTTTCTTCCCATTTAGGTCATGGTCTCGACTGCTTAAAGCAACGCCACCGCGACGACCTCCATCCACATGATCATCATCATCGTCGTCGTCCACCTCGTCATCCTCCTCTGGGTCTTCTTCCATGTCCCCACCACCATTGAGATAAAACCTTTTTAAAAAATTGAATTCCATGGGGTCTTCAGCAATTTGCATTAGACTTGTATTTATTTCTTCGTCAGTCATATTTTCAGCATTTTTTATTTTTTTCAAGAGTGCTCTTTTTTTTTGTATGTGATCAGCCATTTCTTCTCTCCTCTTCCTGGTCAGGTAGCCATGCAAAATGATATCGTCATCTGTGTTGTTCCTTCCATTAAAGAAGCCACCCATGGAATTATTCATATGTTTGTTACACAGCCTGGTCTTCCTATGATCAAGTGATGATACTACATCTTTGTACAAATGAGCAAAGCTTTTATTGTGACTGCTTCCTTTTATAACACCACTTGCTCCTCCTCCTCCTCCTCCAAGGCGGTGATGTCTACGCCTACCACTACCATACCGACCTAACCCATGGGGGGCACTTCCACCACTGCACCCATCCCTACTGTTGCTGTGTTCTCCTTGCACGAGCAGGAATTTCCCCAACTCATCTACATGACTGAAATTATCATTACAATTCTCATTCGGACTAGAGTAGGTAAAGTTGGTTAGGTAGTCACAGAGGTTGCTACTCCTCCTCGAATCTGTGCATCTGTTCATATGGTTACTGGTGTTGAAACATATATTGCCACTGCCACCACTGCTCTGTGCACCATTGTGATTAGACCCCTCAGTTGGGTAGAACCCAGATTTGTAAACGATGGAGTTATACAATGATGATAGGTAATTTTTCATCCTGTCATCATTCGTTTTGTTAATCCTACTATGGCCACGGTGAAAAAACATGCTTGTTTCATTCCTCTGGTTTTCTTCCTCATTTAGGAAGAAGTTTTTGTAAGTCCTGTGGGTATCCTTGTACATTCCTTCCTCGCCTGTTGTCGCAGCTGGTAAATGGCTTCCAGACGCTCCACCGATTACGTTACCCATGTGGTTGCTGCTAATACGCACAGCGTTGTCCACTCCGCAACCGCCACCCCCATCGTCCTTATCACAGCACGGTAACAACCCATTGTCTTCCTCCATGGACGAGGCAAACTGCATATTGTTATCCCTCCTCGAATGTAACAGTTCCTTGCTCAGCAAATACAATTGCTTCTCATGCAACCGACAACCATCACCTACCACTTTGTTCCCACTCGAACCTTCCTGTTCATTCGCATTGTCACTCGCCACGTGATCACAAGAGGGGAAGGAGTTTGCAACCTTACCTTTGGGCAACAGGTAGTTGTTATGCTTGGCGAAATATTTCCTCCATTCATTTTGCATGTCCGTACACATTTTATCTTCCGCACCAGTGTCGTTCTTCTCCTTCTCTAGTAGTTCATACAGATGATACAACTTCCACAAATTATAATTCTTGTCGTGGACATCTTGTGTACATGTAGAACCGTTCGCCGTGCTAAACCCTAGTCCACTTCTACCAATGCCACAGTTGGTACTGGCCCCGTCAACCACATTCTCACATGCAAGTTTCACATCTGGGCATTCATTACTGCTCCTCCTAAGCAGTTTTTCCTGTCCTTGCACTTGTCCACCCTCTGCTATATCCTCTTCCTTAACTACCTGTCCTTCATTCTTATTGTTTAACAACTCTGGGGCCAGATGGTTCCATACATCCATGACGCCGTTACCACCCCCTTCCCCCACTAACCTCTTCACATAAGAGAAGCAGTTGGGTGGAGTACTGACCCCACCATGTGTTGCATCCTGATGGTGCTCACATGCATACATCTCATTGTTGCTCTGTCCCATGCGATGCCTGCACGCCGTTGAGTCATTCGTCTGTCCCATCATCTTCGAGTCAAACAAAAAATTTTCATGAGGCAAACCTTCTAAATTGATTTGTCCTGATTTAATTAAATTGAAAATTATTTTCCCTAACTCTCCTCCACATATATTGCTGCCCTCGTTGTTTTCACCTCCATCCTGTTCACTCATAAGACTACTCTTAACATTTTTCTCATTTAAGATGTTACACAGTTTCGCATGCTCCTCGCAGAAGTGGTTGTGGGTAATTCCGTTGCAGCTGTGAGGAGTACATGCTGCTCTCTCTGCGCTGAGCAAATCGTTAATGTTATTTCCATGCTGAGTGGCCACACAACACATGGGGGAACACATGACATGATGATTATCGTGAAGGCAAACATTTGCTTTATACTCATGTGAGTTGTGTAACTGATTTGCGTCCTTCCATCCTTTGAATGGGTAAAGCCCACATGTCCTGCTAACACTGGTGGCAAGGCCATTACCTGCTGCCTCTTCCCCTTCAAAGGAACTGCACCGATGTAATGCACCTTGTGCTTTGAGCATATTTGCCCCGACATTGTTATTTCCATTTGCACACGTGTTGTGAACAGTCCCGAAGGTCTTTCTCCCCTCGTGATGATCATAGGGGAAGGCCCCATAATGAAGCCCTTTGGAGGTGTCGCTAGGGGGAATAAGTCCGCCACTTGTGTCAACCTGCCCGTGCTTATCGCCACTGCAGAGGTGCAGTCTCGTGCCCCCGTCCTTCTCATAAGCGTTAAGGGGGCCGTCGTGATTGCACGCATTCACTCCGCTGACCAAAACAGCACCCCCTGGTCCTCCCCTGTCACAAAGACGAGACTGTCCACTCACATGAGATTTGCCACAGCAACATTTATCACAACCACCAGGGACCTTAATTGACAGGTACCACTTTAACAAATTAAAAAAATTTTCCTTATTTAAAATGATTCCCTGAGGATTTGTTTTGCCCACGTCACTTACATCTGCATCTATCCTATCGTGATCTCTTTGTTCAATAAAATTGAATTTATTTTTTTTCTTCACTTGTGTTTGTAACGAGGCTGAACTATCATCAAAAGGGATTTGTTCATTCACACCGTTTGCTCTGTCCGTTTCATTATTTTGCATTTTCTCACTAACCCTAGTGACGTCGTTTTCTACCGCACCACAACTTTCCTCGTCTCCATTTTTGCTGCATTGCCGACTACCATCGTTGGCTGGTTCCCCTCCCGACACACCACTGTCATTCGAATTGAGCTCCACGCTCTGGTTTATGTATGCACCATGCTGAATTAGAACCTCTCTAATGAATTCCATCAGCTGGTTTTTGCTTACGCCGTCTTCACTGCCACAGGAGTGTACGACTTGACCTTTCCCGTATGAGCAGCTTACAGTGGGGTCATCCTGATTGACCCCAAAGCTACCATTATGCAGGTTGTTGTGAAGACTGTTTTGCACGCCAAACGGGGCAGAGTGCCCACTGGGACAGACTCCCCCCGAGCAGGGCACCTCCCCATGATGAGCGAAACCTAATTTTTTCATCACCTCCTCGTCCACAATCCCTTTCTGACCTCCCTTCTCCATTATACCCCGTAGGTACTGTAGCGCTGTCTCTTCTCTACGTCCAAGGAGGGACCCATCACCATACATTCCACCAACCCTAGCATTTTTATTGCTTGTCGTGGTCAAAACGCACCCATTTGGTGAGCAAGTGGCAAAGCAATCTGTCTTCTCATTCATATGAATGAACCCTCCACGAAGGAGCATGCTCTTGTTCTTGTGCATAATCTTCCCCTTGTCCACCTCGATCAACTTAAAATGCTCTAGTCTTAACAGAATGTTGTTCATGGTACATGTACTTAAGGAAGACAAAACGCCTAAATTCTTCAGGATGGGAGTAAAGATAATTGCATAATTAAAAATGTCGTTGCAGAAGAGGATGCTCATAACTTGATTCACATAATGCGTAACCATTTTTTTTTTCTTCTTTTTTTTTTTATTTATATTTAGGTGCATTATGGAGTTGTTCATGGGGTTGTTCAGAGAAACGACTCGGTTCTTAAATTTGCGGTGCCCCTGTTCCACTTCCGCTTCATTTGTGATGTGCTTGCTGAGGTAGCCATTGTTCGTAGATTCTGCCACATGGAATTGCTCCTCTTCATGCTGGGTAGCACCCTGAATCGCATCAGTGCCGACTGCTCCACCCGCTGCGACGACGCCGACGGTCCCTACCAGATCATTCGTTTTGTCTAGAGGCAGAGGCAAGGAGTTGGTAAAATGGCTACTTTCATAAACAGAATTGCAATCCTCATAATTCAATTTGTCACAAGCACTAGTCTTCCTCTCATTCGTATTTAATGTGTCCTGCTCCGATACACTCACGCACTGCTCATTAAACATGTTAGATTGATCATACATAGTGGGGTGGACGTTGGGGGGTTTGCTAGTCGTGTCCTCAATGAGGAGGGCGGCTCCCTCTACGCCGGACATTATGCTCGACTGCAAATTGAGTCCGTCGCCACAGCTGGTGATATCATTCTGTTCCTTCCTTGGGCTCTCACCGAGGTCCGAAGTATGATCTGCGTCATCCTCCGCCTGCCCCGTCTTCTCTTGCTGAGCTTCTCCATTAGAATCTTCGCCCTCTTGTACACTCACATATTCGCCTTCCCCATTTGGGCTTTCCTTCCCAGTGGACGCTTCCTCCTTTTTTGTCGACTCTTGCAAGTGGCTTAACAGGGATTTTTTTTCGTTCTTCACATCCTGCTCGTTCTGTTCTGCATGGTGGATATGGCTAATGTGTAATGGGTCATCTGGGTGCGTCTCATCAGCGGGAGCTCCTTCTTCCAGAGGAGTGTACTCCCCCTTGGGGGTCGTGGCGGTCACGTCACGCTCTGCAAAGGTCTCTCCCCCCTGTGCGCCGTCGTCGTGCAGTTCGTCCTCGTCGCCATACACCTTCAACCCCAATTTACGCTCGTACTTATCTCCCTTGCCATTCTCGTTAATCACCGTCTCAATGCTGGTTCGCATATCACTGGGTGCGTAATAAATTTTGTCTTCCACGTCTAGCATGTCTTTCGTGCACAGCATTGCGTCAGCCTCTTTAGAAGCCATCAAGGTGGGGTCGTACTCATGATGACCTTGCTCAACTCCATACGCAGCTTCGTTCAGGCCAACTGCGCCTTCTACAAAAGAAGGCTCATTCTTACTCAGTTCGTTATTTGTACAATTGGCATCAGTGGAGATTGTATCTGTTTTTATTTGCTTATGGGTATATCCATGTAGGTTTTTTTCCTCCCCCAAGCTGTGTTTTCTCTTTAACGATCTTCCAACGCAGTGGGGTCCATCCACATCACGTATCGGTTCGTTGAACCCACAATCCTTTACACCCTGATAAAAATTCCCCCCACCAGATGTGTCATTGTGTTCATTCCTTGTTATGTCACTTGTTGCATTGGGCAACAGTGCATTTACAAAGGGGATGATTTTTGCATTTCCACTTCGCATGGGGACCTTACGGTCTACATTGTTTCTGTCCAGGCCGCTTCTAACAACTCCCCTGATCGGCCCACCGGTCCACTTCTTCCTCTTCATGCTGGTGAGCACCCTGGCGTAGTGCACAATTGAATTCACATCGACATAGGAGCTATTGATGGCCATGATTTTTCTAAAGTGATAAAAGTATGAATCCCCATTGTTGCTGCAGACCCACTGGGGGTTGTACTCCTTCAGGTAGTCTAACACTTGAAGGAAACACTTTTTTATATTGCATAGAAGCTGCTCTACATATTTATCTGCATCTGCATAAGTGAATCCAAATATAATTTCGTTGATGATTTTTTGTTTCAGCTTCTTCCTACGCATTGCATGCGCACTGTCGTTGCTGCTGCTCCCGCCAGTGACGTCCCCCCCAATGCCATAAGCATTCGTAATGTAGAGCAGAAATAGGGGGACGGTTATTTTGATGCTCCCCTGTAGGGTTGCTTTGTCCTTCACCGTGCAGCTATGAAAGGGGGTGTTCATATGGACGGGGTTGTGCATATAGGAGGGATACGCGTGCATATGGCTGCTAGCTGGGTGGGCTCCTCCAACAGAAATGGTGATGGAATTAAGCGCACTGGTGGATATATCGGCGGGGTGGTGGATGCTTCCTTGGGCTATGCCACGAGTGGACCCAGCATGGGGCTGTTTCCCCTCCTCGAAAATCATCTTCCTACTGCAATTTCTCAAGTATTGGTGAATCTTCATTGCAATATTTTTAAAGACATGGTCTAGGTTCTGATCCTCCCCCTTGGATCGGTGTTCCATCTGTGAAGACAAATGGTTGGTGTCTTCCGAGTGATTAGCCAAATGGCAATTGCAACTATTCATGCAACTCTCCATGCAGTTTGCGACTCCCTTATTGAACCCCTCATTTGGGGCTTCTTCATTTGTAGCGTTAGTATAATTATTCCATTCGTCACAGGGGGTGGAAAGCTTTTTGTGGGTGTTATCCTCCGTTTGATCATTCACGTGTATGCCCCCTTGTGTGTCCTTGGCCTCGTGGCCGAAGACGGGTTCACCTGGCAGCGCGTCATCCTTCGGAAGGCAACCCTGAACCCTCAAATAGGCATTCACATCAAATGCTTTATCATCCAAGTTGAGCTCCTCGCCCTCCTGGACGCTCTTTGGTTTGTTCATCAGTTGCTTTAAATAATGCTTAATGAATCTGTGATTGTAACCGTTGTTGAGCTCCACGCCATTTCCGTAGAAGCTATTCTTTTCATTGTTACATGCATAATTGGAGACACCACAAAGGGGATCCTGCTCTCCATTTTGTTCTGCATAATTTGAACTGTCCTTGTACAAAAAGGGGTTATGTTTTACCCAATTCTCTTCCGTCAGCAAGTCCTTCTCACTCATTCCTGTCTTTGTATGAGTAAGGTCACAACTGTCTGTGTGAAGAGAAGTTGCCCCGTTCGTTTTGTTCTCCTCCTTCACATGTGTGTGGTCCTGTTCCACGCCAATCTGATCACTCGCGGATGCGTCTTCACCAGGAAGGACTACTTTCCTTGCTTCGCTCAAGCAGTTGTTGGTGTTGACGCCGTTGTCATTCACGATGGGTGTATTTAAAAAATCAATCACAGAGTTGTTTCTCACCATTCCGGGTGAGCTCGACTCTTTGGGTTCTCCGGTGCCCTCCTCCTCCATGTGTCCATCCACCACCCGCTTGGTGCTTCCCTTCTCGGGGTTGCGATCCAAGTAAAGGTTACACAGATCATTTACGTTCATTAATTTATTTTCATCAATAGTAGAATTAGATGCGAATGAATCTAAATGCTTATTTTGTAATATGGAGGGCACAACATTCATCTCATCCATGTAGTTTTTGTACAGGTCCGGCTTGTTGGCCTTTCCGCCTTCCGTCTTGGACTGCTTCTCCATGGCTTCTTTTTTTTTTTTTTTTTTTTTTTTTTTTTTTTTTTTTTTTTTTTTTGAGGGGACTGCTCCTCCTTGGCAGTTATTCAGTGGTTAGCTTCGATCAGCCTGTATTCACTACTACGCGTTCGGATTCGACGCTGTGGCAGCCACCCACAAACGATTGTACAAATAAAACAAAAATTAAAAATGCTCAAAAAAAAAGGATGGATATAGTCGGAGGCAAAAGGGTGAAGAGACTCTAACATTAGTCATCGCATCTGAGTAGGATGCAACATAAGCAGAATCATCTTCGAAGTATGATGATATGGCTTCTTTTTCGATGTCACAAAAAAAAAAAAAAAAAAAAAAAAAAAAAATAGC